GGGTTGCGATCCGTTGCCGGTCACGAAAAAAGACAAAAAGGAAAAAAAAAAAAAAGAGTGGCTTAACTTTCTAATAGTGATGTATAATTATTTGTCAGTTTGCACCTTGAGATGCTTTATACTTATTAAGCAGGTATATGCTAAACTACTGCCTTTATGAATGAAAAAATTGAGACTTGGATGACTTGTGGGGGGACATTAGAAACAATTCATGTAGCAAATATAGGTTGGACAAGATGACCTCTGATATTTTATGGTTCCATAAAGTTGATCTGTCTAATATCCCCAAAATAAGTTATCAGAGCTAATACAGTAAAACATAGGTTAGCTGGAATCCTGAGAAATTAAATTATTAGAAAAGTTTAGGGTGTTTCTTCCCCTGCCACACATACACACCCTCATATAAACCATTATGGATGAAAATCTTAAATATTTTTCCTGTTTACTGATTATTTTAACAGAATAATTTGGCTGCTTTTAAGATATTTTGACTTTTTTCTGTATGTCAAAAACCACTTCGGAAGGTTCTGACATTTTGGCTCGTTGAAGAATGATACTTTGTGTTAATTATTTTATTAGATCTTCAAGTGTGGTTTTTGGCCACAGAAATGGATATGTTCACTGAAATTTATATTTCCTTCTATTAAGTAAACATTTAGAGTCTTGCATGGATGTTACATATATATTTTAGTTAATAACTGCACTACAGTGTATCATGTTACGTTATCATATATAAAAACTTAATAAGTTCTTATCAGTAGAATAAAAATCCACATTTGATAATGAATGTAATTTTGATATTCTTTTTTAGAACCCGTTTTTGATTCTTCTTTCTGAAGTAGTCATTTTTGAGTTAAAGTATAAAAAAGCATTTTTTTTGTGTTTTTGAAGAAATTTTTCTGTGTGTTTTTAAATGTATTTCATAAAGAGAAATATCAAGTTCTGGCAATTTTTTTTTCTTTACTTCAAGTTCTTCCCTATAAGCCAATAATGTTTATTACTTGTATTTAAAAAAAGCTAGAATTAATAAGTATCTTTATTCTCACAAGGCATCTCTTAGCAGTTGCTAAAAGCTGTATATTATAGACTCCGATTCTATAATAATGGTGTTGAAATATAATGGTGTTGAAGTATAAAACCAATGTCTATATTTTAAGGCATCCTGATTTAATCATACACTTTAATATTTAATATCAAAGTAAGGCTTACAGCTTGAAATAATCTCTACTCTTATTCCCCACTTCCCTTTCTGCTTATGTAAATTCTGAATTTGTTGAAGGTAATTAGTAGTGGAGAGAGGGTTTTTAAAAAAAATCAAATGAACACATTATATACCATTACTATTAGAGCATTTCCCAAATTGATTTATTTTCATTCAGGTGGAAAGTTTCAAGTGAATGTATGTATGTATTGAATTTAATAACAATGATACTGTTTTGATTTAGGCTGAATTGGAGGCTTTTGAAAACAGACTGAAGGGTCGTCGGAAGAAGAACAGGAAAAGAGATGAAGTGGCAGTTGAGCTATCACTGTGGCAGAAGTACAAATATTATCTCTTTTCAGTGTGTGGAGCTGCTGCTCTAGTGTTTGCGTGGTATATCGCCCATGATGTGGATTGAAAAAGCTTTGATCTTTTAATATACCTCAGATTGGATTTAGATAACTTGTTAAATTTGTAATGTTAGAAAATGTATATTGTAGAACATGGTATAGATATACATTCACATTCATCTCTGTATTCTCTTTCAGCTGTTGTTAGAAGGACAGAATGTTAAGCTTTATCTAAATTAGTATAAATATAAGAAAGTTTAAAGTAAAGCATGACTGAAATTGTAAAATATATCATAGGGCATAACTAGTGTCAGTAACACGTTTGTTATTCATTGTACTTCTTTGTATTTAGTTAGTTTCATTTAATATATCAAACCAACCAGTTTTTTGTGTGTGTGAAATTCAGATGAAACTGAGCCATATGTGCAGTAAGAGGAATTTTTCTCAATGTTTTGGTTACTTATTAAAGGATACTTTTTGATCACGTAGCTTTGTACTTTTTTAAAACCACAGTTCTCTAAAAGACCTCTCAAATTATAACTTGAAGCTATGTAATTAAATTCCAGAAGTTGGTTTATTAGTGAGGAGTTTTTATTAGTCATTGAAATAAATTTCATGTAATGCATTCCTCAAAAAATATAATTGTTTTTAACAAAAGCCAGGCTAGATTTCTCACATGTGGCTATTTCTTGTGTAAGAAGCTTTTAACTGAAGTTAGCATGTTTTGTAATACTTGTATGTCTTTTTAAAATAATAATAAAAAGAAAACTAATATTTATCAGCAATATATGCTGAGTACAGGGCTTATTAGCTTTATGTAGTTTATTCTTATTTCCCCTTACCAAAATCATAAATAAATTACAACTAGAAATAATCAGTTCTTATGAAAACAAACTGCTAGAGAAATATCAGTAAGCCAAATCTGTTTGAATTTTAAGTCATTTTAAATAGTTTTGCTATTTAATTTTTTGTATGATTAATGTTTTCATTAAAATACTTCATACCCAATTTGTAATCTACAATATTCATTATTATTTAAAATATTCAGGAGTCTATCATTTTATGTCAGGCATTAGTATCAGTGTATAAAATTCTAAAACTTGATGCAGAACTCAGTAATTGATAGATACTAAAAAGTATCTAACTAAAAAGCAGTAGAAGTGTGTTTTAAACAGAAGTACAAGGGAGGATTTTAAAATTTTGCTGAATTTAACTCAGCAATTTTTAATGTTATATTCTTTAGGCAAGTATTAGCTGGTGTCCAGAAATAAAGGGCAGTCATTCCTTTCTTTATGGGCTTTATGTTTGGATTTTAGGGTTGTTTTCTTTTTTTTTACCTTTCCTGATGGTAGAGTTACTGGATTGGTGTTTTAGAAGCTCTAACTCAGATCTGCTACATTCAAGTTATTGCTCTAACTAAAGTGAATCTTAAGGAATCTGAATCACCAAGTGTCTGTGAGAAGCCGTTTTCATGTATTTCCAAATTTTGGCCTGTTAAGCAAGAGCAAAGCCTAGTTTGTTGGGCTTCTGTTCTTGCTGTTTGTTTTCCGATTTGTGAGGAGGAATTTAGTGAGCAAAGGAAGGAGATTAAATGAATGATAAATTAAGCTGTTTGTTGTTTTTTATTTGTTTGCCTAGGTCAGTGCTTAATTTACCCAGAGTCACACAACTATTCCTTCATTTATTCAATCAACACATGTGTTTTCTGTGTGGCAGGAATTTTCTAGGTTCTGAAGATAATGGTGATCCTTTCTCTTATGTTGCTGCTAAGGAGCAAAATAGACCAAGCAGGAAATGGATGCACAAAATGAACATGATTTCATGTGTGATAAGTGGTGTTAAAAAATAAGAGAAAAGGTACAGAAAGTGATGGGAATAAGGGTGAAAACAGTTACTTCTTAGATTGGGAAATCCCTTTGAGATGGGGACACTTGAGCTGTGACCTGAATGACCTCCACTAGGGGAATATCAGAGAGAAAGCAGCAAGTACAAAGTCCCTAAGTTTGGGAGGTGCTTGGCATGGCTGAGGAACAGAAAAAGGGCTGGTGTGGCTAGAGCTTAATAAAATTTAAACTGAGAGGGGAAGATAGTCTAGTCCAGTACATAAAGTGCTTGATAAACCAGGGTAAGAAATATGGGTTTTATTCTAGTTGCAGTGGACAGCATTGGAAAATTTTAAGCAGGAAAGAAACTTTTTTTTTTTTTGTAAGATTTCTGTTTGCTGGCTGCTGTATGGAGCAAAGACCATAAGGGGGCAGGGGCAAGGGTTAAAACAGGGAGGGAGATGACCAGGGAACAGTCCAGGTGGTGATGGTGCTCTGATGCAAATGGGCACATGACCCCAGTTCCCAGGATGCCCTGTTGCTCTGAATGAGTGGCATGAAGATGTTGCAGAAACTGGTGCATGATGAGCTGGAGAGGAATGACTGAAGGACAGAGGAAATAAGTTCTAGGTCAAAATGAAGTTAAATTTTGTCTAAATACACCCATTTGTTTTGAAGCAAATAAGGTAGTGCATATGGTCCTTTTTGCTTTAATCTGAGCTGATTAAAGAAGGAATGGAAAAGTTACCAAATAGCTGCTAAGAATGGCATAGGTAAAATTGTGAATGTGACAGTCCTATTTTCCTTCTTGGTGACATTAACAAAGTTTATTATCTTACTATTCAAAATTTTCGAAGTATATATATACTGAAATCTTTAATGTTTCTCAGTGTGTATACTTTTTTTTTTTTTTCCTTTTTGTCTTTTTTCGTGACCGGTAACGGGATCGCAACCCTCGGTGTCATGCCCGTACCGCAACCGGCAACGGGATCACAACCCTCGGTGTCTCGCCCGCACCGCGCTCAACCAGTGAGCAGACTGGTCTCTGTATGGGATCCGAACCCTCAGTGGGAGCACCGCCGCACTCCCAAGCGCCGCACTCTACCGAGTGCGCCACCGGGCCGGCCCATCAGTGTGTATACTTTTAAGGCTTGATCAGCACCTAGTGTATTGTATTTCAATTAATTTCACTATTCACATCTAAATAAAATTCAGAGAATCTCAAATAGGTATAGTGGTTACTGAAAATTGCCAAAGGAACATTATTGAAGCAACACATTGGAAACATTTGCACTGTGTAAAGAAGTCTGTGATTTCTTATAGGTAGAGATGACCTATAAGAATTTTTTGTCTCTTTACATTATTTCAAATGTGCCATGTATAATACTAGAAAGAAACTCTATGTGGGAATGGATATAATATTTAAGACAATATGGAGAGATTTTTAAAGTGTTCCATTTCCTTTCAAGAAATATTTTTTCTTTGCCTAAATGCCTGGCACAGGGAATGCAATAAAAGACTGTCCTCACTATGCCTGTAATCTATGTTGTAGATCCCTTCACCTAAGTAAACAAGTAAGGAATAAACCAGGTTAAGAGAGTAGCGGGAAAGAAGGGACATCCATGCTTGGGATCTAACTTATTGCTAAGGGTGACTTTTTGAACTTCAGACCTTGGGGTGCTTGGGTTTCATTCAGCTTTTTCTAATCAAGATTATTAAAGCAGTGGGAGATACTGTGGTCTCCAGAAGAACAAAGGATTAGATGGGTGTTGAACCAAGAATGCTAGAGGTGCAGCAGGAGCCGGAATTTCTTTGACCAGGTGTAGGGCAGTAAAGAGAGGAGATCTTAAAGGAGAAAGCTGCAAATAGGACCTGTGAGGACCCAGGTGACTCCAGGTATATGTCCATACTTGGATACTGGGAAGTGAGGCAGATGTCTAAAGCTGTAGAGCTCAAGTTTACATAAGATAGCTCTGTCTCCTCTGGTCTGTGGAAGTTGCCCTTTTTATTGAGTGGCAGTGATTAGACCACTCTCAGCCTTGGGTCTTAGGGTCTACCTATGATGTTGGGGAGCTTCAAAGAGTGAAGAAGCAGAGTACTGGCTACTACCTACTAGAAGAAATGAATTTGGGAAGAACTGGGAGCCCCTCTGCTCTCCAGAGATTTTTAGGAGATGAGAGACCACATATCCCCCGAAAAGCTATTTGCTTGTATTTTAGAATCTTGGTGTATTGAGTAAGTTCAGCTGTGTTTGCTGAGCTTCTGTTCTTGCTAAGTTTTCTTTACATTTCTTGTTGGGGCGTGTGTTTAAATGACTCTGTGAAGAATTATCCACGTATAGCGTGAAATTTCACAGTCCAGATTCGTTTGAGTTAAGACACCTTTATGTTCCCTAATATTCCCTTAATATTCCTCTGTGTGTATGTATTTCCCTAACATATCCCTAACAGTCCCTACCCACCTTTTTCACTTTCTTCTGGTCATCTTCTATCTTCTTAAAATACTTTTTACTAGCACTAAACAGTACCTGTCCTTGTATTATACATGAGGGGTCTTTAAAAAGTTCATGGAAAGATTCGTATTGTCTTTTTAATTTTTCCATGAACTTTTAAAAGTATCCTTGTATTTGTTCATTATATATTTCCTGCACTGAGAGCAGGAGTGCAGGTTGTTTGCTGCTCTAACCAAAGTGGGGAATGGTGCCTAGCCACATACTAGATGCTGATATTAGTTTCCTAAGGCTGCTGTAAAAAACACCATATATGGGGCAGCTTAAAAACAAATCGATTCTCTCACAGTTCAGGTAGCCAGAAGTCCAAAATCAAGATGTTAGCAGGGTTGGTTTCTTCTGGAGGCTGTGGGGGAGAAACTGTCTCATGGCTGTTCTTGGCTTCTTGTGGTAGGCAGCAATCCTTGATGTTTTCTGGCTTGTAGAGCATCACTCCAGCCTCTGTCTCCATCTTCACGTGGCCTTTTCAGTATCTCTGTGTGTCCCTTTCTGTCTCTTATAAGGACAGTCTTTGGATTTAGGGCCCACCCTATTCCAGTATAATTGCATTTTAACTAATTATATCTTTAAAGACTCTATTTCCAAATAAGGAATGTCACATTCTGAGGTTCTGCATTTAATTTTGGGGTGGGGACACTAATCCATTGTAATGCTTAATATTTATTGGATGAATGAAAATTCACAGTTAATTCTAGGCTGTAAACTACTTGGGCGTTTCCATCATGGTCTTCTCTTACTGATTGCTAAAGAAGGTAGGGGGGTAAGAGGTCAGTCTGGTCCCAGATATCTTCGGCTCCAATTCTGGTTCTGCCACTTCCTAGTTGTGAGATCTTAGGCAAGTCGTTTAACTTCTGTAAGCCTGAGTTTTCTCTTCTGTAAAATGGTGACAATAAGAGAAATAAGTGCCCAAGAAGTTTTAACTATTATTATGTGTATGAAACTGTTTTAAAGCACCTTATATATTTATTTAATTCCCATAACAGCCTTATGAGGTGGGCCTATTATACTTTTCATTTTATGACAATGAAAACTAGGTTTGTTTCCAGAATTTTAAAAAATATGTCACTTTGTGAAGTGCCTGGCACATAATGCTTAGAAAATCTTCTTAGCTATAATATAGATAAATGAGACTTAGTTTCATAATTTTGAGAAGACTCTTACAAGTTATAAATCAGAAGAAAAAAAATCTGTTCTGAACTGAGGCATCTCACTATTTGTAATAACTCGGGACATTGTTCCTGGGAGGATTAGGCAGATGTTTGCCAAGGTTAAGGACACTGAGGCAGTTAAATTGCAGAATGGGATGTGTGAGAATGATAAAGATAAAATTCCTGTGAAATTTCTTATGGGGCCAGTTTTTATTACCTTCTTCCCAATGACTGTTATGTAGTATTAGAGTAAGGGATTGAGGTCCCAGAAATACGTATAACAAACAAAATGTCTACAAGAGTTACTTTTATCATATACTGACGGTTTCATTGGGCTAGAATATATTATGGCAATATGGGTACATTGTTTTCCCCTTTTCAACTAAAAAAACTCTTCCCTCCCTCTGCAACAGGTTAATTTCCAGTTTGCTTGTTTCTTGCTCTGTTCTTAAATTTCTTTTTATTTTAAAGACTTTGCATCTTTATATCTTAACTAAAAATATTACATTCTAACTCTCTAAAGCTATTCTCACTGGTGAATATTTTTCCATAGTCTCCATATTTGAGTATTTGTCTAATGTATTTATTCCACTAGACAAAATTCTGTGAGGGCAGGAACTCTATTTTGTTCATCTAGCAGCTAGCAAACCCTAAATGAATTGAATGAATAAATAGATAAGCCATGGGGTAGCATATCTATTTTAGCATCTGCTTGACTATTATCATGGGGAGCTGGATGCTTCTCTAAGATATCTTTTTCTTGTTCTCTGATTACCTTTCTTTGTAGTACTGATAACTAGTTTGGTCTGTAATGTGATTTGTGACCAAAGCTTGCTGTGTAAAATCACCCTTTCCAGAGGTATATTCACTTCCTTTAGGTTATTTTTTTCGTAAGTCTTTTAAGGTTTGTGTGTTGTTTCTTTTCAATTATCTAACTAGTTGGATGTATGCTTGAAATACTAGACAATAAAAATTTCAAAAGACTAGAAATGTTTCCTTTTGCGAAATTAAAGTATTTTAAGAAACTAGATGATGGTTGTCACTTTAAAATAAGTTGAAATGTGGCAACTTTTTAAAAAGGAATAATTCAAATAAGTCATTAAAGATAACTGTGAGTCCACCGCATA